ACCCCCTTCCCAGAGTGCCCCGAGCAGCTCTACGCTAACCGCCTGTCTCGCTTGGAAATAGCTCTCTCTCCAGCCTCCCTCACTTTCAGCCTGTGTGAGTCTTAATTATAGTTCTGGGCAGGCACTTTGGCTTTATTGCTTTCATTTATTATAAAAAGACCAGTGTCTGTTTTGTGAAATCGCTATCTGCTCAAATCATGGTTTATAAGCAATACTGGTCTGTCTTCCTAAGACAGCCAGAATTTATCTTTTTTTTGTTTGTTTCTTTGCAAGGCTTTGCTGGTGTGTGTGTGTGTGTGTGTGTGTGTATTTTCAGAAGTGACATTTTGCAAAAGGCTTTATTTTTCCTTTCAGCCTTAAAAAAATTGTTGCCTTTTAAAAAAACCAAACCGAACAAACAAACAAAAATCCCCAAAGGCAACTCAATAATAAAATCTATCATGAGGGGAAAGGTGATAACTTTGTATTTGTTCTAACGGTGCATTTACTGCTGAACTCCTCAAGTGGTAGACACAGTGCAGCGTTTGTTAGCTGCTTTTTTTTTGCAATTAGCTGTTATAGTTGCATCGTGCCTTTTTGAAATGCAGCTATTGTAAATTATAGCACAGAGACTTGGGCTGGATAAATTCGGAGCGTTATGCACAGGCAATGCAACATGGGGATTTGGTTGTGTGGGGTGGGGAGGCTGTTAATGCATTAATCTTTCATCTTTGGATAACTGAGCTCATATCTTTGACTATTGTATGGAGTGAGTTTGTCTGGCTCACTCTGCTACCTAGTGGATGCCTGTCCATACTGCAAAGCGATGCACGATAAAGCATGACTGGCAATCTCTGCTCGCAAGAGAATGAGGGCTGGAACACAAAGGATGCTGCGGAGCAAGACTGAGTCATGTACAATAATTGGAAGAACTGCTTAGATGGCTCAGGACCGGAACAGTGGTGCATTGGCAGAGTTCTGTGGAGGCGGCCAGCGGGTGCTGTGGGTCAGAGATGAAGGGCATTGGCAAAGCAGCTGGAGCTGGAAGCAGGTCTGGAATAGGGATTCAGTATGTCAAGATGAAGGTGCATTGACTGAGTGGTGTGAGCGAGGCTTTCAAGTCCTGTGCATAGCACTGGGACCTCTCTCAATCTCTCACTGTCCTGAGTGGCAAAGTTCCCCACATTTACCTCAAAATCTTCATGGCAAATGAAGTGAAAAGAGGGGGAATTCAGTCCATGAAACTGTCCTCAGAACTCAGGAGCAGCATAATCCCTTCAATGAGTGAGATCATAGGGCTGACACACTTGCCCCAGCTACTGTAACATGGCACAAGGTTTTCTATGCCACTCGGAGTCAACGGGTTTTATATGCCATGCACAAAGGGGCAGGAACTCAGGGTAGCTCAGGGTAGACCTTTGGAGCTAAATGCATGGGTCTCTACTGCATGAGCTAAAAGCCACGTGGCTCTTCGCTAAGGCTGTAGCAGACTCATTAATCTCTCAGTGGTCTTGGTGCCACTAGAAGGTGACGGAGCACCACACCCAGGAGGTGTGGGTTACAAATGCACAGATTAACTATCCACCCAACACTGGTTTCCATTCTCTGTGGGAGATGCTGTCATCTAGATGCCCCCTTTGGGGGAGGTTTAATCTGGGGTTGCTCTTCAACCGTGAACCTCTGTTGGTTGAATTAGGTAGCAAATTAGGTAGCAAACCGTGACTTTGTCCTTAAAATCATCTTTCGTCCCCCTCCTCAAGAAAAAAAATCAAATCCAAAATCATTAACCCTAGAATCATCTTGAAAAGAAACCAAAAGACAAGAGGAGCAGGGGCTTTGAACTCTGAAACTCACAGCTCCACCTGGCTTTGTGCTGCTTTTAAACAGAAAAAGATGTCATGAATATTATAAAAAGCAGACAATATTTTCAGGCTTTTTGCAACACAACACAACCCAGCCCAACCCAAAGGAAGGAGTCAGAGATATTTAGAGAAAAGACAGGGCTTGAAAGACCTTTGAGGCAAAGGCATGACTTATAATTGGGCAAGTGTAATTTCATAATTCATCTCCCTGAACCACAATGAAATTGAAAGAGTTTAGATTCCAAAGCGTAATGATCATCACTTACATTCTGCCGGGTCTGAGCTCTCTTCTCATTTGAATTTAATTTAATTTTATTATTATTATTTTTTCTGTGATTGCAGCAGGCGCGAAAACAAATGCTATTGTCTGATGTGGCTGTGGCGGGAGCGAGGGGCGGGGGGTGGGGGGGGAGAGAAGGACAAGAATTAGAGACAGCAATTACTATCCAGTGACAGGGAAGACTGAGGGAAAGCAGGTTTTTCCTCTCCTTAGCACAAGTGCCAGGCAGGGAAATCCATCATTCTGAGTCTAATCAGTTAATGCTGATAAACTGCCAGCAATAACTGACAATTGAACTGGGGTTTTCAGGCTCTGAGTTCATTCATTTTGGAAGTGCCATAACTAACCTATTTAAAAAAAAGGCCCAGCCTTGGTCCCCTAATGAAAACTGCTGTTTATTCTTTAAGTGGGGGTGATGATGTGTTCAGCAGCTGTTGATGCCAGAGGTTTGGCCTCGGCTGGAAAAGCCGCTTGTTGCTTGGTGTGTATCCTCCTGGAGTTTGCGTCTTTGGTGTCTCTCTGCATGCCCCCTCTGACCAGACTGTGGACCGTCTCAGCAGAAAGGGCCAAGAGGGGATGGGCCACGGAGACTGAACACTCCTCTCGCCTTGTTTCCTCCAGGACGGGGCTGCAGCACATGGCTGGGGCAGGGTGGAGGTAGCTTACATCAAATCCGGGTGACCCTGTTTGGAGGATTAACAGGGGACTTGTGCCCCCAGGGCTGCCAGGGCCACCTTTCAACAGTGTGAAATTCACACACAAGTCAAAGCAACTGGAAAGGCAGAAGAGCATAGGAGCAAGGCGCGTGTGCACGATGTATCCTCAACGCTGTGCTCCTGATCAGCACAGGGAGAGAAGAGGGGCCTGCCGTGCCCCTGCTGAGCGCTTGTCTCAAGTTCTCACCCATTGGGGATCAGCAGAGAAACCTACCTGGCATTGGGAGTTCAGGAATCCCAGCTCACTTTGTCCATGAACCCAAACTGCATTCAAGGGGTACGTTTGGCATCGCAGTGCTGAGCGTGGGAAGGAATATGTCCAAGCTGCTTCAGCATGATTAGTCATGCTAAAGACATCTTTGGGAGCATGAGAGGGGGGGTAGGAGCCAGGGGTCAGTGCGGCTGGGGCTCAGGCTGGAATCTGTGACTTGCTGGGTCACCACTGAAGTTAACGGGAATTGAAGATACTCAGCTTGAGGCACTCAACCCTTGTAAGACTGGGTCCTTGCAGAGTTGTGTCCCGATGATAAGTAACACTGTGGTGTCATGGTCTGCAACGAGACCTGTGCAAAGAATTTGGGGTTCAGTGGCAGTTCCGAAAAACCTAAACAATATTTCATTTGGGGCCTAATTGAATATGACATTTTTGGTGAACTGAAAAGTAGAAAAAACCATTTCAGTTCAAATGAATTTGAGCATTTAAAAAGGTTTTTAAAATAAAATGAAACAAAAAGAGGTTTGGAAATGAAAAGTCATTTCGAATAGAAAAATTGAAATGTTTGGTTTAGAAAATGTCAAAACAAAATATTTTGTTTTTTCTTAATTTTTTTTCAACTGAAACAATTTGCCGAGATTAACCCATATTCACAAAGTATTTCAATCAAACCTGAATCTGTATTTTTTGCTGCAAAATGTTTAGAACATAAGGAAGCCGGGTCAGACCAATGGTTCATCTAGCCCAGTATCCTGTTTTCTGAAAGTCGCCAGTGCTAGATGCTTCAGAGGGAGGGAAAAGAACAGGGTAATTATTGAGTGATCCATCCCCTATGATACTGTCCCATGTTCTGGCAGTCAGAGGTTTAGGGACACTCAGAACAGCGGTTGCATCGCTGACCATCTTGGCTAGTAGCCATTGATGGACCTGTCCTCCATGAACTTACCTAGTTCTTTTTTGAATGCAGTTATAATTTAGGTCTTCACAACATCCCCTGGCAATGAGTTCCACAGGTTTACTGTGCATTGTGTGAAGAAGTACTTCCTTTTGCTTCTTTTAAACCTGCTGCCTTTTAATTGAGTTTGGTGACCCCTGGTTCTTGGGTTATGTGAAGGTTAAAACTAACACTTTCCCTATTCACTTTCTCCATAACCTTTCATGATTTTATAGACCTCCATCATATCCCCCCTTAGTTGTCTCTTTTCCAAGCTGAAAAATCCCAGCTCTACATGTAACACCTTGTTACTACGATAGATGCATTTTCTGCATCCCCAGAATGATTAAGACAATTATTGGTTTTCTGTGAATTCCTAATACAAGTATAGTCAGACCAGAATATACTGGCTAAGCCTGCAAACTGCCTTGGACTTTCAGATGGTGACACTTCACTCCAGAAGGCAGATGTACTCTGTATGTATTCATTTACTTACAGGTGGTTAATTGCGCAGTGGTCTGGATACATACAGGCTCCTGGCGAAGACTTAGTAAAGCAAGACAACATAATGCAACTTTATGTAGCTTCTTTCACAAAGTCTGTATCTCCCCAGAGCACTCAAAGAAGGCCATGAGCTGCTAAAGGAGACGAGAGGCAGCCATTACACCATGGTGCAGCTGTTAACCTCAGGATTCCCATCATGCCAAGGAGAATTGGGTCATTTCAGTTGCACATTGCGTACAGATATTGGAATGCAACAGCCAATCCATTGCTAGAAGCAGATTGGTCTGATAGCTAGAGCAGGGCCTGGGACTCCTGACTTGACTATTAATTTGCTTTTTTGGCTTTAGCCAAGTCAGTCAGGCCCATGTTTTCAAAAGTAACCTCTAGTTTTAGGTGTTGCAAGTTTTCAGTGTCCAAATTGAGGCAGCAAGGACTGGGAGTTTCAGATTTGCCTATGAGATTTAGATAGACAGCTAAGGTTAATCTCAACTGTTTTTTCCCCCCACCATAGGGTCACAGATATTCAAGCTGTAAGAGACCACGGGGATCGGCCACAGAACTTCCCAGAATGACTTCCTGTTTGAACAAGAACAGATATTTTAGAAAAACATCCAATCTTATTTGCCAATGACAGAGAATCCACCACATCCCTTGGTAAGTTGTTTCAATGGTTAATTACCCTGACTGTTAAAAATGTGCATCTTATTTCTAGTCTGGATTTGTCAATTTGCTGCCACTGCATCTTGCTTTATCTTTTTCTGCTAGATTGAAGAGCTGTCTATTACATTTCTGTTCCCCATGCATGTAGTTATAGACTGAACAAATCACTCCTTAGTTAATCTAAACGGATTGAGCTACTTGTGTCTTTCCCTATAAAGCATGAATTGTGTATCTAAATCTCTTAGATTACCCTGAAAATTTGAGCCGAGCTGTCTGAAGTTAGGTACCTAAAAACGACAGAATGCTTTGAAAATTCGATCCTTTCTGTCTTTGTGTCTCAGTTTCCTAAAATGTATCTTTGCCGCAGGCTTTGGGCACTACAGCCAGCCTCTGCTCTAGAGCTGGTTGGAGACTTTCTGTTGATTTTTTGTGGGCGCATAGGATAGAAAATGGCTATTTTCATTGAAATGTCAAGTTTTCATTGAAAAGCCTGAAAACCAAATGAATTTTCAATTGCTAAAAAAACAAAACCAAGCCCCCAAAACAACTAACCAACCCAAACCCAGAGGAATTTAAAAGAAAATATTGCCCCCCCCCCAATTCTTGCAATTTATCATCGGGGGGAAAAATCACGACCAATACAAAGTATCTGCCTATCTATCGATCTGCACCAGGGTCTCTTACAAATCAGAACAAGATCACAAATATAGCACATATTGCAAACCACCTGCCTGCTGTGGGAAACGAGGGACAAACACACAGGAACTTAGCATGTGGTCAGCACATCCCACGTTTTGGGTGCTACTAGAATAAAAATAATGGAGAAATAATCCCAATAGTGACCACTGCGGGCATCTCTGAGAACCCAAAGGCTGCAAGTTTTCAGTATTAGCTACACTTTATGGGCTACAGCTGTATGTTTTATGCTGCTCTTTACAGAAGGTTTTTTATTCTTTTGCTGCAATGTAGCTCATAAGGTTAGGAAATTCATTCACTGGTTAACTGTTGTGCAACCATCACACACCTCACCACTTTCCACTCTGATTGCAAGGTGTGCTTCTCTAGCATAAATACAGAGCAGTGTGTACAACCCTACCAAAACAAAACCCTCCACTGCACACACAGTTTCCTCCCTGGATGAGAGAGAGAATGAACCACATCTGGCATATGTTAGTCATGTATCTTAAAGTATGACACCACTTCTGCATAAGAACCTGAATAGAATAGAACTAATAAACAATATGTTGGGAGTGGGATAGTGTAAACTAGAGATGGATGAACTATATGTTGTGAAAAATAGATCAGTCTCATTAACCCACCTTTCCTGCCTCCAATCCTGCTTGGTTCTGTCTCCCCCACACTCTCAGACTTGGTTTATAACAGGGTTACCCCACTGTGCAGCCCACAGCATCCGAAAAGGCAGACTGTGGGTGCCCTAAGAGCAAAGGCAATTCACTGCTGGGGAACACCAGCTAGCAGGCAGTTGTGATTGAGCTCTCAACGATTCTATGTTTACTTATTTCAGAGTAAAAAAACAACCACCTCCAAAAAAAAACCCTTTATGCAAGACACCGGTATGAGTCTTGCTGTAAGAAATATTGGGCATCCCCGGTTTATGTCCATGTCTCCAATGAGACGTGGAAGAATCAATCTCTTGGGAAGACAAAGAAAGTTGATCCGACAATGAGCAAATTACGATCCCCTCTTCCAGAGAGTGACGCTAATGTTAATTTACAGCTGCTCTGTACAATAATATTTTCAGTGAGCAGGGTGGGGAGGGGCACCTCTTTCTCTTTGTCTCCTTTCTCCCTGCCACCTCCCCATCGTAATTAGTTGTCAAAATTTTGTGGATGGAAGGGGGCGCACTCGGGCCCTGATGAGATGATACAGCAAAGATTCCATTTCATCTTGAATTTGACATTAAACTTTAATAGTCTCAAGGACAAGAAGCCAAGAGATATCAGATGTAATGAGATAAAGCAAAGTTTCTCTGACAGCAAATTTGATCACAAATGGGCTCTGAGATTGCTTCTTTGATATAAATGAAACATAATTCATCTTCCAGTGCCTTGAATGGGCTTTGAGGCCATGTATAATAACTCTGTCGCCATTGCCCAGCCCTGACAAGTGCCTGCGTAGCAAGAGGAGAAAGGGCTCGCTGAGACCCCGCTCTCCTTTGTGGTTCTGGATGGGAAAATCAAAGGGAAGCAGCGAGCTGCCAAGAAGCTAAGTGAGCTGCCTGGTAAATGGAAACTGGTGACTGAGATAGGCATGAACCATTCCTGCCAGGCACCCTGAGACATGGAGCTTTGGAGCAGGGGAGACTTGTAGCCCCGCTCCGCCCCCCCGCCTTAATGGACCATGATAAAAAATTGCCTGGGCTGCTCATGAGCAGAAGGGACAATGAGCTCTATATGCCAACAAAATGATGATAAATACTCGCCCTTTGCATAAATAGTCACCTTTCATCTGAGGATTTCCAAAGGCCTCCCAAATGTACTGAATGAACTAAGCACCAACAACATCCCAGTGAATTTAGTGTTTCCATTTTACAGAGGGGAAACTGAGGCACATAGACACACTTGCTGAAAGTTGCTCTGCGAATCAGTGGCAAAGCTGGGAGTGGGACGCAGGAGTCCCGATTGCCAGTGCCTTTCCCTAACTACTGGACCAAACCAGAGTGAGCTGAGACATCCACAAGACAATAGTGCTGCTGGCTTTTACTGGGATGTTTGCTTTCCCTACCGCCTGCCACCATTCCCTTTTCGCTTATCACAGGCGTCCAGGGAGTGCAGTGTGAGCATGTGATCGGCCTGCAGGAACTCGTAACTCTGGTAACGACCCTCCTTGTGGCCTTGGGCACGGCCACTTATTCTGCCACAGTCACTCCATCAGTAAAATGGGGATAACACTCCTTCCCTGCCTGACAGGTATGCTGGAAATACAGCTAGGCAGATATTTACAGTGCTTGCCAATGTCAGCTCGAACAGGGAGCACGTGGCTCACTAATGGTGCTTGCAGCTCTTTGTGTTCATATCTAGAATTTTTATTATTTTTTATTTTTGCTATTCTCAAGGGTGTTAGTGGAAAGCTAAAGTCTTTTTTTTATACTGGTGCAAATATGTGTTCACATGAAGTTTTGTGCTGGGACTACTCAACCAATCATCTTTAAATTGCTTTGAGCATTGGCCAAGTTTCACTCATCCAATCAGCAAGCAGAAATGACAGCGTGTGACTTAAGGACCCATATAATACAAATACCATAAATAAGGCATAGCAAATAGTCAAAGACACAAGTGAAGCAAACCGTTTACAACAAGCCATAGGCTGAAATAAGTTCACACAGAAGGTTCATTGAACAATTTTGAAAAGCAAGTTCACTAAAATCCATGTGTTTGCAGCGAGCTAAACAGAATAAAGGGCTAAATTCATCAGCTAAATCATTTGTGACAAAGAGTCAGCCAGCTCTGGTTGTGAGGATTAATTAGTTAATGTTTGCAGAGATGAAAAGAGTTGAAAGATTGCCAAATGTTGTTATCAATTAGAGTCGTTTGAGAAGTAATACTTGCAGGAAGGATTTGTACATTGTGGCTACATTGTAGCAAAAGCACTTAAGCATGCACTTAAATTCCATTTAATTCAACGGGACTTAAACATAGGCTTAAAGTTAAGCACGTTGTTATATGTGCAGTTGCAGAAACCACCTTTCATTTTCAAGAAAAAAAATCTGCCCTGAGACTGCAGTGTGTTCTGCGTTGCGTGCTCTGTACTGCATAAGAAACACCCCCCACCGAATCCTCCCCCCACGGCACCTTGTTGCTACTGACGTTGTATGGGATTGAACAGAAAAAGCACAGCTTGCCATTCAGACAATAGCTGGAAGTAGTGCCACTGGGCCAGTTCAGAGAAAATCTGACTTTGACTGAACAATTCGGACCTGGAAATGCTTGGCCCGGGACAGTCCAGATGCCACTTTTCAGAGCAAAAAGAAGAACAGGAGTACTTGTGGCACCTTAGAGACTAACAAATTTATTAGAGCATAAGCTTTCGTGGACTACAGCCCACTTCTTCGGATGCATATCAAATGTTACTCTGAAACTTTTCAGAGCATAAGTGTCACATTCGTTAGAGAGCACCTATGACAAAGGGACTCAGACAGCTGGAGGTGTTACGGAGGGTCATGGAATATTCATCAGCCAGGAATATCTGGAATCAGGGAACTGTGGGGCTAACCCTTTGCTGAGCACAGAGACCAGGAGGCAGGATTCCTAGGTGATATCCTGCTCTGCCACCTTACTCTCTGTGACCATTAGACAAATCTCTTCACCTCCCTGAACTGCACTTTTTCAGTCTGTAAAAAGGATATAAGAATCAAGCTCGTATGAGAAAGTTGTAAAAACACCTTTATCAAGCACCCTTTGGCTGAGGATCTCTATCCACTTATTTAGCTGTCATCAATTTTTTATCCTGATATCTGAACAAATTAAGCCCCACAAGAACCCTGCCATCCTTTCCTAGGCAGGGAAACCGAGGTTCTTGAAGTTAAGGTCACGCAGCAGGTCAGGTGGCAGAATCAGGAGTAGAACCCGGGTCTCCTGATTCCCAACCTGTGCTGTTCCTACCCCATGCTTTGTAACGAGGCCAGGTATCATGGCAGTAGCCATGATATAAATGAAATAGCAAAGTATAAATTGTTTTGAGATCTGCAGATGCAAGTAGCCAGGGAAGTGCAAAGCGTTCGCGATTCCTAACAATCACTGTCCCTGCACGGCTGAGGAGGGGACCTTCTACCACGCTACCTCTGTATCCAGTGGCCTTCCGCTAACTCCTTAAGAGGCCCCATTCTTCTGCTTATCTACAAGACACCTCCGAGGAGAGGACCTTGGGTCTGACAGTGCTGACACTCTAATTATAATGGATTCATTTTGCACCATTTCCTGATCTTGTTATTATCTTTGTCATCAGAATTAATTTAGTGCTGTGTGTTCCCCCCC